TTTTAAGGTCAGGCTTGACAAAGCCCTGGCTGGGATGATTTAATTGGGGATCGGTCCTGCTTTGAGCAGGGGGTTGGACTAGATGACCTCCTGAGGTCCCTTCCAATCCTGATATTCTATGATTCTATGCAGCGCCAACCCCCTGCCTGGATGAGGGGGATGAAGAACTGCAGTAGAAACAGGTTGGGCTGGTAGAGGGCACATCTGATGTGGGACTGAGAGCTGAGTTGTCCAAGAGACCAGAACTCATGCGGGTTCAGACAAGAAGTCAACAGGACTGGGTAGAGGCACTTCTGTGTATTTCCCCTTGTTTACCATCCTACCATGCATTTAATTTAGAAACTTGTCCCTCACATTTAAACACATTTGAGCTAAGCCATGTTGATGCATTTCCACTTACAGTGTAAAGTTTTAATCAGGTGCTTAATCAGATGCTTATGCAACACAAATCAGTCAATAATTGGTGTGCTTTCATTAATTAACTTGACTGTGTGCTGTGCATCGCTTTTAAAAAAAAGATGGTGTGAGCAAGTGTCAAAATTTCAGGCATTAAGAAATGGAAATTAGGTGTCAGTTCATTTCTCATGCGTTTATCTCAATTTTAATTTCTGTTTTGAATCAGTATTAATATAAAGTTGCTTCCATAGCATTAGGGTCTATTTGTATAATTGTTTGCAAGATTTCATTGGATATTGTGAACCAGCAGTCTTAACCTTTTATTTTGAGATTACTAAATACAATCCAGTGCCCCACTCCTGAAAGTCTGCAAATTCTGTCCGGTTACATGCTCCCTAGAGAGCAAACACCTGACGAGCCCTTTCGCCCTAAAAAGCACTTTTGGCTCTTTGACATTGCTTTATCCATCCCACCAGAAAATGCTATAGGTAACCAGGTACTTACAGCATACCTTCAATAGGTATCGTTCCATCAAAATATGTGCCAAAAATTCAAATGGTTCTGTTTGTTTTATCTTTCATTCAGCTTTGCAATTATTAGATCTCATTTAAAAACTGGAACTGAAATAACCAAAGCAAGTTAAGAAGAGAGTGGCATTGGGCATAGGTGGAGGTAAAACAAAGGGAAAGAACTGACTATGCAAAAAGTAACATCCCAAACTATCAGAGCCCCAGACCCCCAATGTGATGTGGCCATGAAATAGGTTAATGCAGTCTTAGGATGAATCAGGTGAGGTATTTTCAGTAGACACAGGGAAGGGTTAGTACTGTTGTACAAGGCACTGATGAGACCTCATCTCAAATACTGTGGGCCATTCTGGTCTCCCATGTTTAAGAGGGATGAATTCAGGGTGGAACAGGTGCAGAGAAGGGCTACTAGGATGATCCGAGGAATGGAAAATCTGCCTTATGAGAGGAGACTCAAAGAGCGTGGCTTGTTTAGCATAACCAAAAGAAGGCTGAGGGGAGACAGGATTCCTCTCTATAAATACATCAGAAGGATAAATACCAGGGAAGGAGAGGAGTTATTTAGGTTAAGCACCAAAGTTGGTACTAGAACAAATGGATACTGGCCATCAATAAGTTTTGGTTTGAGTCTATAAACTGTGCCTTGCGTTGTACAGACACTGATGGAGATCAGGTCCCCATCGTGCTGTGTATGGCAGAGACCCTGAGTGAGATCAGCACCCACATTTTGCTGGGCACTGCACAAACAGTAGACAGTGGGTAGGAGGAAAACAGAGAAGGGCTGTGACTTCTCCAAGGTCACCAAGCAGGTCAGTGACAGAGGCAGGAAGAGACCCCAGTAACTGCAGAGCCCCGTCACCCGCAGCCTGGAAAGGTGTGCGGACCCCATTGTATTAGGCTACAGGAAGAGGTGGTTTTTCCATGAATGCACAGGCTGTCTTGGCAGGGTAGCTCGGCTGCAGTCCCTACACCCAGTTGGGGGTGTGTGTCCTGGGTCAGGAGAAGTCAGTGTCCAGTCCTGTGGGGCTGTGCTCCTGGCTCATACCTCCAGCACTCACTGCTGCTCCTCCATTAACAGCTGCACTGTTCAGCCAGCCCCAAGCCGCAGAGAGGTCACTGTCCCCTCCCACCCCAAATCTTCAAACTGGGACATGATGCACCAGTGCCAATCAGAGTGCACTAGTGTAAATTCTGTCTATACTAAGAGTGTCCACCAATGCCTAAAATACCAGTGTAGCAGAGACCTTCAGTACCCAAAACAGCAGTACGGTGGCAGTAGAACTGGGATCCATTTCTAGCTCTGTCACGGACAGCCTGGTCCTGCCTCAGCAGAGAGAGCTGGACTTGATGACATCTTGAGGTCCCATCCAGCCCCAACATTTCTATGATGCTATGCAATAAATATGTACAAAAACACAACATACAGAAAAAAAACCCCACCACAACATAATGTCAAGCAATTCAGAAAAACAACAAAAAACTATACTCCACAGCATAAAATGACAATACAAAGGAAAAGAAAGCAACACAATGCAAACTAACACTTCCTAAAGTACACAATGGAAAAGAGCTCAACCCAAACCAACACAACGCAGGCAACAAACAAGGTGAGGCAAAACAATGCACCATAAAAATATGCAACACAACATGGCGCAGGCATCATGCAAAACAGCTCAGCATTGAACACGACACAGGACATAAGAGAATTATTTCAATGTAGGCATGGAAGGGATCTTGAGAGGTCGTCTACTCAAGCCTCCTGTGATGAGGCAGGATGAAGTATCCCTAAACATTCCCAGATTGGTGTATCTCTAACCTGGTCTCAAAAACCTCCACACAAAGGAAATGCCACAGCTTCCCTTGGAAGCCAATGCAATGCAAACACTCAGGCCAAAACAACACTGTACACACACAAACTGGGCTTGGGGTTAAGAGGAGAGGCAAGAATTCAAACAAACAATCTGGGTTCAGTTCCCAGTTTTGACCCAAATTCTCCATGCAAACTTGAGCAAATTACTTCAGCTCTCTGAGCTTCAGTTTCCCCATCTGTAAAATACAGAGAGTAGCCTCCCACCATTTGCCTATTTAGCCTTTCAGCTTTTTGTGGCAAGGACTCTCTGTCACTGTGGGCATGTCAACACTACAGTTAGACACCGGCGGCTGGTTCACATGGCTCAGGCTGTGAGGCTGTTTAATTGTGGTGTAGATGTTCCGGCTTGGGCTGCAGCCCAAGGTCTGGCACCCTCCCACCTCGCAGGTTCCTGCAGCCTGGCTCCAGCCTGAGCCCAGACATCTACACTGCAATTAAACAGCCCCTTTGCCTGAGCCCTGTGAGCCTGAGTCAGCTGGCATGGGCCAGCTGTAGGTTTTTAATGGCAGATACCCTTGGTGTCTGTTCAGTACCTGTCATGATGGGGATCCTGATCTTGGTAAGTGTCTGTGCATAGCCCTGCACAACAGGGGGCCTGACCTCAATTGGGGGCTCTGCAACTCCCGGCACCTCAGGATCCCTGGTTTTGTTTGGGGTCCCTGCAACATCTGACAAAATGTGGGGGCAGGGTCTGTACAGTGCCCAGTACAGTGGTGGGGCATGATCTTGGTTGGGGTCAGTGCAATGCCAGGCCCAATGGGGACACAGATCTCAATAAAGGTTTCTCAAGTGCCCAGCACAATGGAGGCAGCAATCTGGGCCTTAGTCATGCACTGCCTGGCACAAGGGGGGCTGTGATCTCAGTCCAGGTCTCAGTTTTACTTGGCACAATGCAGGGCCTGATGTCAGTTGGGGTCTCTACAGTGCCCAGCACAACAGGGGCACAGATCTCAGCTGGGGTCTCCACAGCACCTATCACAACAGTGGGGTCTGACCTCTGTTGGGGTCTCTGCAGTGCCTGGCAGAACAGGGACCCACATCTCAGTGAGGGTCACTGTAGCACCCAGCACAACAAGGTCCCTGCTCTCTGTAGGGGTCTCTGCAATTCCTGGCACAACGAGTGCCCCAAATTTGGTCAGGGTCTGTGCAGTGCCCGACTCACTGGGGAACCTAATCTCAGGCAAGGCCTGTGCCACGCTCAGTATGATAAGAGCCCTGATCTTAGACATCTAGAGAAAAAAGCGAGAAGATTTTTGAGAATTTCATATCAGTATTTCAGAACTGAGGAGAAAATGGGGCACAAACGACGTATTTACCAATATGAGAGAGAAGCACCAACATCTGGGGAGATTTTATGTCACCATTCAATAGTTGAAAAGAAAAGAGGGGAGATTTGAGGGGATTATACAGCACTATTCAATCAACAACAGAATGGGATGGATTCTTCTTGCCTCACATTCACATCCCCAGCAGGGAGGCCTGGGTGATGTCACTTTCACCAGGGCCGGATTAACCTTTTGTGGGCTGCGCACCAAACAAACATATTTGTGGGTCCCCATAGAGGCAACGGAGCATGGTGTGGGGAGGTCAGGCCCCAGAGTGAGGGGCCAACCAGAGGCAATGGGGCATGGTATGGCAGGGGTGGCCCTGCTCCACCCAATGCAAGGGCACTATTTACAAACCGGCAGTGGTCAGATGCACAGTGGCCTGCCCGGCCCTGTGCTGCCAGCATGCCCCTTCCCCTTGGGGCTGGGCCTATGCTACACCACACAGCTCCCCCCCTTGATTCCCTATAGCCAGAAGCCCCCCAGACCCACTATGCCTAGCACCCCCACCAGACCCACCCACAAATTCACAGTCCGCTGCACAACACCACCCCTACCCACAGCCCCACCACAACTGCCCAGCACCTCCAACTCCCTAGTGCCCCAACACACACAGATCCTCCCTGTCCCTTCAGAGCCCAGCAACTCCCCCCCCAGCCACACACACACATACACATATACTTCCCACAGACTCACTTTTCCAAGCCCTGTCTCCTGGCTGCACTCATCAGCCCTGCTTAGAGGCGACTGTGTCTGCCGGGCTGAGCCAGCAGTGCAGCCAGGGCTGGTCACAGGGCTGGGAATTGCTCTGGCCCCTCAGGAGTGCTGAGATCAACCAGGCCAGGACCTGGACCTGGCCGGGGTCCCTCAAGAAGCACTTACCTGCAGGGACCCAGCCAAGCCCTCCGCGCTGTCTCCCCGCCACACCTGGCTGAGACTGACCAGGCTTCTGCACCAGTCCCAGGTGGCTCAGCTCCCAGGAGACAGGTGGGGTCCCATAGGTGGTGGGAAGCAGAGACTGCCCGGAGCTGGAGGTGCACTAGGGTCCTGCCAGGGGGCAGAGAGGAGCAGGGTGTAGGGCCAAGGGACATAGAGGAGTCCTCGACCAGCCCGCACGCAGACCGAGAGGAACAAGTGGTGAGTGTGGGGAGCCAGCAGGGTCTCAGGGTGCAGTGGAAGCAGAGCAGGCCAGGGCCCCTTCTGAGCATGAAGCCACTGGAGTCATTGTAAACCCGGCACTGGCTTTCACAGGGGAAAGGAGTGGGGCTGGAATCAGAAGGTCACTGGCTGTGGGGAGGGGCTGGCAGTAGGGTCTGGGAATGTGACCAGCAGGCTGGGGGGGTGAGGGGGCAGTAGCTGGGACTGGGAAACCTAGGGCTGGGCCATCTCCATGGGGGGGACGCTTACTCCTCCCTCCCCTTCTTGGGCCTTTCCAGGCCCTGTGGCCAGCAGAGAGCAGCCCCCCCAGCGGTATCTCTGTCTCATGGCTCTGCCAGCCTCTGCCCATTAACCCTCTTCTCATTTCAGAAATCACTCAGGGGAACGATTTCCCACCTAAACAAGGACAAGTCACTGCAGGTAAAATGGGGGGGACACAGCCCAAACTGGGCATTAGCAAAGTGGAGAGGAAATGGGGTACAATAGGGGGAGGAGAACAGAGACCTTCTCAGGGATCAGAGTAGCAGCCGCATTAGTCTGTATTCGCAAAAAGAAAAGGAGGACTTGCGGCAGCTTAGAGACTAACAAATGTATTTGAGCATAAGCTTTCGTGAGCTGCAGCTCACTTCATTGGATGCATTCAGTGGAAAATACAGTGGGGAGATTTATATACACAGAGAACATGAAACAATGGGTGTTACCATACACACTGTAAGGAGAGTGATCACTTAAGGTGAGCTATTACCAGCAGGAGAGTGGAGGAGGGGGTGGGGGCGGCGGACCTTTTGTAGTGATAATTAAGGTGGGCCATTTCCAGCAGTTAACAAGAACATCTGAGGAACAGTGCGGGGTGGGGAAGGAGGAGAATAAACATGGGGAAAGTTTTACTTTGTGTAATGACCCATCCACTCCCAGTCTCTATTCGAGCCTAAGTTAATTGTATCCAGTTTTCAGAGGAACAGCCGTGTTAGTCTGTATTCGCAAAAAGAAAAGGAGTACTTGTGGCACCTTAGAGACTAACCAATTTATTTGAGCATGAGCTTTCGTGAGCCACAGCTCACTTCATCAGATGTGTACCGTGGAAACTGCAGCAGACTTGCAGATTAATTCCAATTCAGCAGTCTCTTTTTTTGGAGTCTGTTTTTGAAGTGTTTTCGTTGAAGAATTGCCACTCTTAGGTCTGTAATCGAGCGACCAAAGAGACTGAAGTGTTCTCCGACTGGTTTTTATAACATTCAAAAAAAAAAATCAATCTCTTTGGTCGCTCGATTACAGACCCAAGAGTGGCAATTCTTCAACGAAAACACTTCAAAAACAGACTCCCAAAAAAGAGACTGCCGAATTGGAATTAATCTGCAAACTGGATACAATTAACTTAGGCTCGAACAGAGACTGGGAGTGGACGGGTCATTACGCAAAGCAAAACTGTTCTCCCCGTGTTTATTTCCCCTCCTACGGTTCTTGTCACCTGCTGGAAATGGCCCACCTTGATTACCGCTACAAAAGGCTCCCCCGCCCCCTGCTGGTAATCGCTCACCGTTCCTGATCGCTCTGCTTACAGTGTGCACGGAGTGACACCCATTGTTGCATGTTCTCTGCGCGTATAAATCTCCCCACGGCGTTTTCCACTGCACACGCCTGCGATGAAGCGAGCTGCCGCTCACGAAAGCTTACGCTCAAATAAATCTGATCGCCTCTGAGGTGCCACAAGTCCCCCTGTTCTTCTCAGGGAGGGGGGGGGGGTCACCCGGGCTGCTGCCGGGAGCGAAAGCGGGGGGGGGCAGCGGTAAATCCGAGGGGATCTCAGCCCCCCCCCTTTCCCTCCCCGCCCCTCGGGGGGTCCCGGCTCTTCTCCCCCCCCGGCCATGTCCCGGCTGCGCCGACATTTTCCCTCCGCCCCTTTCCCCAGGTCTCCCCCCCGCCCGGCCCCACGCAGGGTGGTCCCCCCGGACACTGGGGCAGAGTCACCGCCCGGCCCCGGGGCTCGCTCCGGTACCTGGAGGCTGCAGCTCCGCAGCGGGGCGGGCGGAGCCCGGGGCGTCCCCAGGGCGGCTCCGGCGGGAGCGGGGCCCGGGGGGGGTCGGACGAAGGTCTCCCCGGCACAGACCCTTCGGCGCAGCCCGGCCCCGCAGCCTCGGGGCGCAGCGGCAAGTGAAGCTCTGCCTCTGCGCATGCCCGACTCTCCCCCCCCCCGTACCGCCACCTGCGCATGCCCAGAGCCGGGAGACACAAAACCCTCCTCCTCCGCCTCCGGGAGAGGCTCCAACGGCCCCGCGCGAGCCAGGTAGAGCCGCAGCGCCCCGCGCCTTCGCTGCCGGGTTCCTCCGCCCCCCGCCAGAACATCTCTTCCGTCCGGAGAGAGTCAGGAACTACATCTCCCAGCCTGCCCCGGGGCCGCTTCCGCCCTCCCCGGCACAGGTGAGGGAGGGTTTCAGCAGCTGTTATTGCGCATGCTCAGTGCGAGGCCCGGCGGGGGCCGGGGCTGGAGCAGTTGGGGGGGCGGGACCCGGGAGCCCAGATCCCGGCCGGGGGGGGCTTCGCCAGCCGGGACCAGCCCCCTGGGCAGCCCCGGGCTCTGCCCGCCCCCAGCCGGAGCCCCCCGGTGAGCGAGAGACCCCGGGGGGGGGGAAGCGACTCTCTGCCCCAGACCCCGCTGGGATGGGGGGGGGGGCAGAGACTGGGGCCCGGCGGGGGGGTCCCCTGGGGGGTGTCGGGCGGGGGGGGGGAAGAAGCCGGAGTAGCCGGGGGGGGGGGGGGTTGAATTCCCGGGGGCGGGGGAAGGGGGGAGTTAATTGGATCCTGTCCCTGTTTGTGCCCCTCGCCTCTCAGCCCCCGATACAAATTCCCTCCGGCTCGTCCCCTTTTCTCTCTCAGCATCTCCCACGTGGCTGTAAAATCCAGGGAGATTCCCCCCCCCCCACACACACCTTTCCCCTCAAAGGGTTAGCTCTCTCGTCCCCTGATTTTCCCCTGTTCTCTCCATCATTCTCAAATGTCCATTTAAAATCTCCTCGACGTGCGGGGATTTTCCCACCCGTTTTATCTGCAGGGATTTGTCCTTGTGGGGGGAACCCTTTGGGATTCCCAGCCTGTCAGTGCAGGTCTGGTGGGGCGTCCTTGGCTGGTGGGGAGCTCTGTGGGGTATCTGGGGTCCCTGGCCAGGGACTCTGGGGGCTGGGTCCCAGGGAATATCTGTTGGGACCCTGGCTGGGGGTCTGGGTACCGGGGGGTGTCTGGGGGCTGCTACTAACCATGCTCCTTCTCCCTGATCAGCTGGTGCCAGGATCCTGACTCCAAGCACTGCTTGGCCTTCCCTGGCCACCCCCAGTGTCCGTAATAACTTTCTATCCACTTATCAAACACCATGAGGTGAAATCACACATTTTGCTTTTCTCCCCTCTTGAAAACTGCAGGAACTTCCGGTTCCCTTGGGAAAATTCATGCCCCCCAGGCCTTGTCCTAGATCCGGGGAGGTGGGAAGTGGGTTAGCATTGCCACACAATGATCTCTTCCACAGCGTTCTGGACTCATCCTTTCTGAAATCTGGTTTCATTGAGACCATTATTAATCCAGAGGCACTGCAAGGACAGACAAGGAGTGACTCCAGATGGACAGTGGGGCAAATTAAATTAGCAATTCCTCCCTCTGAGGAGGTGCTCTCATTCGCTGCTCTCCCCAGAGAGCTAAAGGAGGGAAGGCTGCTCAAACGCTCTGTCCCTCTCTGCTCAGGATATTGGGGTTCAGCTTCCTGGGTCAGACACTGCAGCCTCCATTGTGATCTGGGAGACCAGTCTTAGCAGCTGCTGCTCCCCCCCCCCCCCCCCGTGGGGGTTCTGTGCTGGGAAGTGGTGACATTAATTAAAGCTTCTTCTCTGCCTGGCCCAAGTGATGACTTTCTCCAGCTGGTACTATCCCCATAAGGCAACCCTGGGCCCTGTTAATACTAAATTCTGACAGGTTTCAGAGTAACAGCCCTGTTAGTCTGTATTCGCAAAAAGAAAAGGAGTACTTGTGGCACCTTAGAGACTAACCAATTTATTTGAGCGTGAGCTACAGCTCACTTCATGGGATGCATACCGTGGAAACTGCAGCAGACTTTATATACACACAGAGAATATGAAACAATACCTCCTCCCTCCCCACTGTCCTGCTGGTAATAGCTTATCTAAAGTGATCAGCAGGTGGGCCATTTCCAGCACAAATCCAGGTTTTCTCACCCTCCACCCCCCCACACAAATTCACTCTCCTGCTGGTGATAGCCCATCCAAAGTGACAACTCTCTACACAATGTGCATGATAATCAAGTTGGGCCATTTCCTGCACAAATCCAGGTTCTCTCACCCCCACCCCCATACACACACAAACTCACTCTCCTGCTGGTAATAGCTCATCCAAACTGACCACTCTCCAAGTTTAAATCCAAGTTAAACCAGAACATCTGGGGGGGGGGGGGTTAGGAAAAAAAACAAGGGGAAATAGGCTACCTTGCATAATGACTTAGCCACTCCCAGTCTCTATTTAAGCCTAAATTAATAGTATCCAATTTGCAAATGAATTCCAATTCAGCAGTTTCTCGCTGGAGTCTGGATTTGAAGTTTTTTTGTTTTAAGATAGCGATCTTCATGTCTGTGATTGCGTGACCAGAGAGATTGAAGTGTTCTCTGACTGGTTTATGAATGTTATAATTCTTGACATCTGATTTGTGTCCATTTATTCTTTTACGTAGAGACTGTCCAGTTTGACCAATGTACATGGCAGAGGGGCATTGCTGGCACATGATGGCATATATCACATTGGTGGATGTGCAGGTGAACGAGCCTCTGATAGTGTGGCTGATGTTATTAGAATATCTATCCATCACAGGGCCTAATAACATCAGCCACACTATCAGAGGCTCGTTCACCTGCACATCCACCAATGTGATATATGCCATCATGTGCCAGCAATGCCCCTCTGCCATGTACATTGGTCAAACTGGACAGTCTCTACGTAAAAGAATAAATGGACACAAATCAGATGTCAAGAATTATAACATTCATAAACCAGTCAGAGAACACTTCAATCTCTCTGGTCACGCAATCACAGACATGAAGATCGCTATCTTAAAACAAAAAAACTTCAAATCCAGACTCCAGCGAGAAACTGCTGAATTGGAATTCATTTGCAAATTGGATACTATTAATTTAGGCTTAAATAGAGACTGGGAGTGGCTAAGTCATTATGCAAGGTAGCCTATTTCCCCTTGTTTTTTCCTAACCCCCTCCCCCCCCCCAGATGTTCTGGTTTAACTTGGATTTAAACTTGGAGAGTGGTCAGTTTGGATGAGCTATTACCAGCAGGAGAGTGAGTTTGTGTGTGTGGTTTTTGTGAGGGGGTGAGAGAACCTGGATTTGTGCAGGAAATGGCCCAACTTGATTATCATGCACATTGTGTAGAGAGTTGTCACTTTGGATGGGCTATCACCAGCAGGAGAGTGAATTTGTGTGGGGGGGGTGGAGGGTGAGAAAACCTGGATTTGTGCTGGAAATGGCCCAACTTGATGATCACTTTAGATAAGCTATTACCAGCAGGACAGTGGGGTGGGAGGAGGTATTGTTTCATATTCTCTGTGTGTATATAAGTCTGCTGCAGTTTCCACGGTATGCATCCCATGAAGTGAGCTGTAGCTCACGAAAGCTTATGCTCAAATAAATTGGTTAGTCTCTAAGGTGCCACAAGTCCTCCTTTTCGTTTTACTAAATTCTGAGTCAGAGACTCCAGGTAACTAAAAGAAACCAAGGGAAAATGCTGGTCCAGTCTGGTATTAAAATCACTCTACACAAACAGACCCCCTGCCCACCCATTTCTCCTCCCATTAGCAGTTGCAGGAGCAAATCCCACCATGGGGAGCAAACAACCCAAGAATGGGACTTTCCTACCAGACAGGCAGGGAGAGAGGACAGGGAAAAGGAGATATAGAGACTAAAAGGGGCTGTGGGAGAGAAGAGTTTAGACAGAGGTTTTCAGATCTCTGATCTGCCCAGACAGATGTATTACTTCACCCTGGGTAGAATCACTTTCCTGTGGACAAGATGAGGATCAGACAGAGGGAAATGCAGTTCCTAACTCCATGTCCCTCCTGCTGGGGTGTGGCTGCCATTGTATCAGTGTCAGATGGAATCATCGAAAGTGATTCCTTTGGTTCTGCTTTATTTTCTAGCATTGTGTTCAGAGACTTTGTCATGGGGCAGGGGGAGGGAGAAGAGAGTTTAAAAATGTCTCTGTGGGCTTAGCCTGGTAGGAGTCGCCAGGTCTACAAGGTAATAAAGAAAAGGAGTACTTGTGGCACCTTAGAGACTAACCAATTTATTTGAGCATAAGCTTTCATGAGCTACAGCTCACGTCATCAGATGCATACTGTGGAAAATACAGAAGACATTTTTATACACACAAACCATGAAAAAATGGGTGATTATCACTACAAAAGGTTTTCTCTCCCCCCACCCCACTCTCCTGCTGGTAATAGCATATGTAAAGTGATCACTCTCCTTACAATGTGTATGATAATCAAGGTGGGCCATTTCCAGCAAAAATCCAGGTTTTCTCCCCCCCACTCTCCTGTTGGTAATAGCTTATCACTCTCTTTATCATACACATTGTAAGGAGAAAGAAAAGGAGTACTTGTGGCACCTTAGAGACTAACCAATTTATTTGAGCATAAGCTTTCGTGAGCTACAGCTTACTTCATCGGATGCATACTGTGGAAAGCGTAGAAGATCTTTTTATACACACAAAGCATGAAAAAATACCTCCCCCACCCCACTCTCCTGCTGGTAATAGCTTATCTAAAGTGATCACTCTCCTTACAATGTGTATGATAATCAAGTTGGGCCATTTCGAGCACAAATCCAGGTTTTCTCCCCCACACACACACACAAACCCACTCTCCTGCTGGTAATAGCGAGAGACTGTTGAATTGGAATTCATTTGCAAATTGGATACAATTAACTTAGGCTTGAATAGAGACTGGGAGTGGCTAAGTCATTATGCAAGGTAACCTATTTTCCCTTGTTTTTTCCTACCTCCCCCTTCCCCGACGTTCTTGTTAAACCCTGGATTTGTGCTGAAAATGGCCCACCTTGATTATCATACACATTGTAAGGAGAGTGGTCACTTTAGATAAGCTATTACCAGCAGGAGAGTGGG